TCAAAGGAACGTCCGTTGTGTTTCCTGACTTCGGGACTAGCCCTCAGTGACAGCCCACTGGTCCCTTCTTGTGCCGGGTGCTTTTCTCAGGCAGCCAGGCGGCGGTGGCACGGTTCCCACATCCATTTATGGCCCTGGAGGGTGAAAGGGACACGGCTGGGACTCTCCATGTACGGTTCTTGAGGAGTCAAAAAGCATGGTTGGGGTGTTCTTGGAGGCAGCAACTAGACATTGTGAGATAAAAATAAATTGGCAGGAGATGTTTGCAATTCCAGTTCCCGTCTCTGCCAGGAGGGCAGAGAGCACGGGGGAGAGAGCAGAGAATCCACGGAGCTCTGTGCAGGCATCTGTGTCCTTCCCCTGAAGGGCTGCCCGTGATGCCTCCCCAGTTCACTTGTGCTAGAGACTTTGAGCTGCTCCTTGTGACCATCCCTTATGAAGAGAAGCCTCAGTTCTTTGAGGCACCCGTGGAGGCAGAAGAGATCTCGAGAGAGGAAGAGGGAGGAAGGTGCTCATGCAGGGGCAGGCTGGCTGGTTTGGGGACAGGGTGATGCTGACCACCACTCTGTGTCTGAGGAATGTCGTCCTAAGTGCCATGCTCTTATTATCCCATCTGGGTTTCCGGCATCAAGAGAAGATCCGCAGAGTATTTTATGGAGTGTCTTGTGGTTTGTCAGCTGCGATTTAGAGACACTGAACTTCCATGGAGGTTCTGCAAAGGCTTTTGGTGAGAACAGGTGATGTGTTGGCTTATGGGACGCCATCTCACATGTAGGAGACATTTATAGTCTGACAAGTGCACGTATTGAAGTCCGAGGCGAACTGCTTTTGCGCAGGCGTGTTAGAAAGTATTTGGGAGCCACCAGAGAAAAAGGGTCTTGTCTCAAGGAAACTCAGGGTGAAACCCAGTCAAGTAGAAGGAACATGGAGGCAGAGATGGGAGAGAGACGGAGAGCAACTAAACTAAATTTGGAAGCTGGGACCAAGTCCTTGATGTAGCCTTTGCAATATCGTTCAACTAAGGAAGCTGAGCTAATAATAAGAACTATGCCTTAGAAGACCATGAAGAAAATGGAAGGGTTGTGTAAGATGATAAAGTTATCCAGGTTTTATATGTGGACTTGCAGAATGATATTTATTTGCTGTGGGTTAAAAGGCAGAAAGATAAATGAAGTAACACCCCTCTACCTCACTTTCCCCCAAAAAAGGAAATTAGCGGCCTCATTTGTTGGTCTGTTTGGCTGGCAGTTTGAGTTGATAGAATAGACGAGTCTTACTGGCTAATTTTCAGATGTAGGTATATTGTTTCTTGATAATTGATGTTTGAGAAAGGGAATCAGTAGCATGATTGACTTGACCTCTCTTAAATCTTAGCAACTTCCCCAAAGACAGAGTGAGTGAGTGAGGGATATGGACCATCTGAGTAATACGGTTTCCTAGTCGCTTCATTTAGGGGATTGTTTTTACCCTGTATCCCTTCTTAATCAAGAGTAAGGAAGGTTATATTCTTTGCTTCAGGGAACTCTCCTTTCTGTCCTCCCTCCCTCACTTTTTCCCAATTCTGGCCCCAAAGCAGCTCTATCTCTTCTGTGGCAGGTGTGCATCCTATTGGCTGGCTGGTATTTCTTGTTTTCTTTTTTTTTCTTTTTCCTTATTCTTTTTAAGTGGGGGAGGGGGTATAAAAATATGTGTATGGGGTACATGCAATAATGTTTTAATGATTCTTGTTTAATGGATAATTAATTGCAAAGTAATTGTTTGAATGATAACATGTTTGAGTAAATGCTAAATTAGTAATTTTTTTTTCTAATATAATAATGATTTTGAAATCTAGCATTCCTGTAACAATGTGTCTGTGTTTGTCTGTCTGTGTCTGTCTCATAGTAATTAATATCTGTGGTCCGTACCTGGAAGAGGAAGGACAGCTTTAAAGGAATAACAAAAGACTTTGTGTCTTAGACCCTTCGCAGGTGTTACAGTCGGGTGAAAGAACATGGTGTTGGGAAAAGAAAGAGCAGTTACACATTTGAACAGTTGGAACAGGTGTTTGGTCAGGGAGGATGGGATGCTCAGCCCTGCCAGCCTGTACTTATTAACAGTAGTGGCTTGTACCAGGAGCTGGAGTCAGATGGCAGCACTATGGAGGAGTATTCACAGGAGGACTGGGGAAACCACAGTCAGGATCTCCATGGCTACCCAACAGATCAGGAATTGGGTAAGAAAGCCGACGTATCTGCTCCTCGTCTGTGTCTGTGTGTGTGTATGTGCCTTCATGTGTGCACCGGGACTGGTGCTGTCCCTGCTGTCAGCACGAGGCATGTAGCCCGTTCATCTGGGCCACTCTGGGCGGCCTTGATTTAGCCTTAAACTACCAGCTAGTGCTTGGTGTTGGTCATTTGCTGACTTGGGTGCCAGCAAACATCCTAAATCCACAGAAGAATTCCTCATTCTGAGCGACACAGGAAGCTTGGTGGCAGAATCCTATGCGGTTTGAAATACCCCGCAGCTCTTAGTTCTACGGTGACTGCCACGAGTACTGACTCTTGGCTCAACTGCTAGAGATGAACTATCTTTTTTCCTTTTCTGTTTGTGATTTGGAAACGGTCCCGTCCCAGACTTCGGTCTGAACAAAATATGAAGGGAAGCCTCGATTTATCTTAAAAAGGGCTCATATCTGAGCTTTCTCGGCAGTCATATTCCTTCAGACTTCACAAAGGATTCCAGCAACAGCTGAAATGATTGACCACAGTCTTAACGTTTAGAATGGAAATGAAACTCCTGGCCATCAAAGCCGAGCTTGTGTGGCCTCATTGAGAGGGTCTATGTAAGTGGCTTTTTGTAGTAAATGCCCCACTTTTGATTTTCATGACGTGGAAGTCCTAACCACGTTTCTGCTGCAGCCATTATAGCTTAATGGCGAGTTGTGCGATGAGTACTCACAAGTAAATGTTGTTACTCGCCAGTGAGAAAGTATAGTAGGATTGGCACTATCGGTGTACTTCTCCAGCTCAAGATAATTAGCATTACTCGATCATCATTCCTGATGCTAATTCAAAAGAAACAGTATTAAATGCTTGTGTTTCTCATGAATGCTGTTTTTGTTTGTTTGTTTGTTTAATCTCAAATATTGGAAGAGAGAGGGAGAGAAGAAAGAGGCTATATAACTGTAGGACTAACACAATTTAAGAGAGAGACTTTAAGATTGGAAGAATAAGCCCTGGCCGATGTTACTCTGTTGAGTGTCGTCCCATGCACCAGAAGGTTGCTGGTTGGATTGCCAGTCAGGGCACATGCCCAGTGTGGCCTTGGTCCCTGGTGGGGGGTGTGCAGGAGGCAGCCCATTGATATTGTGCTCTCACATCAATGTTTCTCTCTTTCTCCCTCTTCCTTCCTCTCTCTTTAAAATCAATCAATTATTCTTTAAAAAGAAAGATTAGAAGAACAAACAGGGCTGATGCTAAGCGATTACTATCTCTTCATTTCAAAACAGTAACAAGGTCTGAATTACTTTGGCATCCCATAACTCTGGTTTTGCCAGAGAGATTTAAGTCACCCAAATCTTTGGGAGAAAAATAACATGCGGAATATGTGGATCCTGATATGGGGGAAATAATTCCTCTGTAAAACCTACATAGAAAATCTAAATCTCGCAGAATTATTTTCATTCTTGTTCCTTTAAAAATCATGTTTGTGGAGAAATTAAGCTTTAAGCTCCCAGCTAGAAATCTACTGGTGACCTTGAAGAATTTTATACTTGTAGAGCTGGTTTCTGATCTTGCATATAAATGTATGCATCTCATTATAAAAGAGTTATATGTATAAATCTGGCATTGGGCAGCGTTTGAGACTAGAATCAAGTCCTCAAATTGGGATGTGTGGATGAACAGTAAACATATAGCTACTTATCTACATAAATGTATGCCACCACTTAGGAGAATATAACCTGTTTCCAAAACTTTGCTTTTCAGATGAAATACCTGTCACAAAGAGAACATTAAAAATCAAACAAGAGTCTTCTGAAGAAGCACAGTAAGTAGACACTTCCCCTCTCTGCAAACGTATTCATCTCGGTGTAATGGGAAGGTGCTTCCTCCGCCATCTCACTGCGGAAGCCTGTCTAGTCATTCTTCCTCACTCCCTTAGCTTCAGCTTCCCAGTGGTTAATCTAAAATGGTGAGAGTTTTATACACAACAACAAGAAATAAATATGTTACATGAGAAGAAGCCTGTGTGTGGATCTGGATACCTGGATGTTTTACTAAGATGGAAAGATGAGTCACAGAACCCTGAGTTTATCTGATGTTAGGCAAAATGATAGGAGGGCTAGAGGACACATAAATTTCTTTGATTACATTTTGGGAATCAAAAAGCACACTTTTGCCCGGCTGGCATGGCTCAGTGGTTGAATGTCGACCTATGAACCAGGAGGTCACAGATTCCCAGGCAGGGCACAGGCCCAGGTTGCGGACTCGATCCCCAGTTGGGGGCGAGCAGGAGGCAATTCATTAATGATTCTCTCTCATCATTGAAGTTTCTATCTCTCCCTCTCTCTGAAATCAATAAAAAATACATTTAAAATAAAATAAAATTATGACATCAAAATATTCCAAAAGAAGGGTAACTTTGATGCGTATTTTAAAAAACGAGGCTACCAGTCCAGACCTTCAGAGCCCTATTCTCCAAAGAGGCCATCGTGTCTTTCACTACGATGTCCCATCTCTCCCTTTACCACTCAGGACCTTCAGAGGAAGCCCGGTTGGTGTAACTGGGGATGAACTTGAACTGCACAGTATTGGGGTCACCAACCCCAAACCACCCAAACTTTTCCTGTGGTTGGGATTTTAAAAATCAGGAAATGTGACAGTTCTCAAGGACCATTTCAACAACTGGGTCTCATTCTCATTGTGCCCCATAACGTCGAAGAGTCGATCTGAGTCTTTAGCCCAGGGAGCTGCGGGCTGATCAGCAGGGAAGAAACTGAGCGGGCTCTGCAGAAACATTCAGCCTGCGCTGCCTCTTCTCCGGGCTCCCACTCCGGGGGTGAGGGCTTTGAGGTTCCCAACAGGCAGTTTATTTTCCAGTGCAAGTTTCCTCAGCGCTATTCCTTGCTGATGACTTAGGCCTGTGACAGTGCTGAGTACAGTCGTTCATTTGGGCGTTGGATTTCTTCCTCTGTGTGTTGCAGGTGGCATCAGCCTGAACTAGCTGACAGAACCTGCAGTAAAATACCATCCTTCATCCACGAGGATGAGTCACTATTCTGCTCATTTGTTCAACATTTATATCAAGTACCTACTGTCGGTCAGGCATTGGGGTACATCAGTGAGCAGACAAAAGTCTCTGCCTTCCATCCCAACTCCTTAGCCTAGTCCTTCTTGAGATCAGTAAAATATTTCAAAAGAGGCCCGGCCAGTGTGGTTCAGTGGTTGAGTATCAACCCATGAACCAGAAGGTCACTGTTCTATTCCCGGGCAGGGCACATGCCTGGGCTGTGGGCTCGATCCCCAGTGTGGGGTGTGTAGGAGGCAGCCAATCATTGATTCTCTCTGATCATTGATGTTTCTCTCTCCCTCTTCCTTCCTTTCTGAAGTCAATAAAAATAAATTTTAAAGAATATGTCAAAAGAGGACAAGGAAGGGTGGTGGCTCTGAAATAAGTTTTTGGGTGCGTGTTTTTTAAAGCATTGACCCTTGGAGAAACCTGGTCCTATATCTTAACCTCACAAGTAGCACATTATAAATATTAGAAAAGTGGCCAAGTGCCTTTGTGTCCTCTGAGAAGAGGGACAAGTTCCCAGGACACAGTGACTTCATCTCGATGGCCACTCTGACGCTTGAGAAGCTCTCAAGGCAGCCTGGAGGGTGGAGGAAAATCCAGGGCACTTTCTGGCCTCAAGAAGCAGCTGATAGCAAAATTTGTCACATCTTTGTCATCTCGCAAAGAAAGTCAAGGAGAGTAAGAGGTCAGACTGAGAATGACTGCATGGAGATCCCTCAGTGTTGCGAAAGCTTTTCCCCTGGAAGATTTGAGAATTTAATAGGAAGCTTCCAGGGTCTGTCTCCTCTCAAGAAGCTAATAAACTGGCACATATACCCTCTTTCTTGCATACGTTTGATGGAACGTGAGTGGTTAGTTGAGTATTTTTGTAGCTTAAGACTATAATTGTTGTAGAGGGTAGTAGTTGGTTGCTAAGTTAATATTTAACAAACTTCAATCTTCCAATATCAAAGATTTGCCATACCTGAGAAGCAAACTTGTAATTGCATATCCCCACATATATATGAATCATGGGATATCAGTTACAGTAATATGAGCTCAGCAGCATATGCAGAAAGAATTCCCTGCCTTTTCTGTCATATCTCTGTTAATTATCCAAATCAAAATTTCTTTACTTTTTCCCTTTATAAAATATTTTCTAGAACAGTCTCAATTCATTATCTTGAATTTTTTTTTAATCATCACTCAAGGACGTGTTCTTTTATTGATTTTAGAAAAGGAGGAAGAGAGAGAGAGAGAGAGGTCAATTGGTTGCTCCCTGTACGTGCCCCAACTGGGGATCGAACTCGAAATGTAGGTATGTGCCCTAACTATGAATGGAACCCATAACCTTTTGGTGTACAGGACGACACTACAACCAGCTGAGCCACCCAACCAGGTGTCATTATCTTAAATTTTTATCTCTTAAAAGCTAAGCCTAATATGGACCTTTTACATCTGAATTCTCAGATCTTAAATCTGTGTTGAACTAACAGTTCTTCTCAGTTTGGAAGAGGTAATGAATTTCTTCTACAAATAGAAGAAAATGCCATTTTCGTCTTGCAAGCATGTATCGCCAAAATTACTGCATTTTCAGAATTTCCAGCTTTGAAATTAAGATGTTCATTATTTTAAATGATACTGTTTACCTTTCTCTTTTTTTGACTTATTGGGATGCCACTGTTCAACATGATCATATAGGTTTCAGGTGTGGGTTTCTATGTTACAAAATCTGTATATTGCACCATGTGCCCACCACCCTAAGCCAAATCTTCTCCTCTCACCTTATATTAGGACTCCCTTCTACTCCCACTCCTTTCCCTCTGGCAGCCAACATACGGCTGTTTGTGTTCACGAGTTTCAGTTTTATATCCCACATATGAGTGAAATCAAACGGTTCTTAGCTTTTTCTGACTGACATATTTCACTTAGCATAATGTTCTCAAGGTGGATACCTTTCTGAATACAGCTTTCTCCACTTGCTCTTGGTTAGGTCTGAAGGCCATCATGCGCATTATAATAGTCACTTAAAACAATTCATGACCCTTGGGTTCTGAAGTCCTAGGGTCTTACTAGTACATAGCAATAGTTGCGAAGGTTAATACAGCCAGCCTGTATAAGTAACGGAAAGCAGCTTATCATTCATTCCTAGAAACTTCCTAGGGGAGAGTATTCTCAGATTTTATACTATGGTTATCTCAACCTGCCCCGACCCATATGGAAGCTACTAATCACATGTGTTTATCGAACCGTAATTTCAAATTATAATGGAAAATGCCTCACTCACACTGGCCACATTCTGAGTGCTGATGCTAGCATACTGGACAGCACAGATAGAGAATACTTCCATCACTGCAGGCAGTGCTGATGGACAGTGCCCATCTAGACCCCTGAGGAATTTGCTTTTTATTTCTCGTTCTAGGAAGAGAGACATCATGCAGAATATCGTCCAGATTTTGGAATCAGTGCAGTTGAAATGGGAACTGTTTCAGAGCTGGACGGACTTTTCAAGGCTTCATCTTTCTAATAAACTGGCCATTTTCGGGATCGGTTATAACACCCGTTGGAAAGAGGATATCCGCTACCATTATGCTGAGATCAGCTCCCAGGTGCCCCTTGGCAAACGACTCCGGGAGTACTTCAACTCCGAGAAGCCCGAGGGGCGGATCATTATGACCCGCGTGCAGAAAATGAACTGGAAGAATGTTTACTACAAATTCTTAGAGATCACTATCAGTGAGGCCAGGTGCCTGGAGCTGCACATGGAAATTGACTGGATCCCCATTGCCCACTCCAAACCAACTGGTGGCAACGTCGTTCAGTATTTATTGCCAGGAGGCATTCCCAAGAGCCCGGGCCTGTATGCCATTGGCTATGAAGAATGTCTGAAGAGGCCCTCCTCCCCCCACATGGAGCAGAGTTCCCTGGACCCAGGAAAGGAGGGCAGGGTTGACCTGGAAACCCTTTCCGCACCCATAGAACCCGCCCGGATCACCTATTGCTACCTCGGGATCGCTGAGGTCAGGACTCTGCAGCAGTGCTTGTTTTTACACTTCCAAGCCAATACCAAAACCTTCAGCAAAGATTGGGTTGGTATTAATGGGTTTTTGTCTCAGAACTGCATTGTGGATCCCGGAGTCTCCCCCAAATCCATCTACATCAAGTTTGTGGAAGTAGAGAGGGATTTCCTTTCCGCGGGCTCTTTAGTGGAGTGCCTGGAAAAAGCCATCGGGTACCGCTTAAAATTTAACAACTGAATGTCATCCTTCATAAGGATTTGGGCT